TATTATTATCGATTGCTGGTTGGTTTCGAAGAATCCACCAAGCTACGGTGAGTGATTCTCCTTTAATCATCTGCGTGCTCTGGGGGTCTCGAACTTCAGTGTGGGCAGTGGAGACGTTTGGTCGGATAGTCAAGAATTGTTATGATCTTTCTAGGCTCTGAAGAAGGCGACTCCGCCGAAACGTCAGCCTAATAAAGCTTGAATACCAACCTCGTGAAGAGTTAAAGAAAACAACTCAGTAACAGAACAATTATGCCGAGATTCATAGAAAGCCGTACGTGGAAGTTTTGCTAGAATCTCGCACAAAAGGGTAAAGTTTTTCAGTTGGTCAGTGGAGCATACGATATGATGGACGTTACATTCATGCAGAATTTTGCCCGGTCATCAACAGACAATCAGCGAGTTCAGTTATTCAGTTATTAGCACTACACACTGGACGACTCCCCTCCCTCTCCTAATTAAGATTTGACCCTTTGCGCTGAACGCAAGAATGCCGCCTTCGAAAGGTAACTTGTTAGTCAAGCATTCAAAACATCACATTTGGTCATAATAAACCTGCAATGATTTGCATTTTAGATCTGTTCCCCGGCTTAGCATGAAGGGCGACTAATGCTATCGTTACCCCGCTGTATTATAATATTTACTGCCATGAATTTGACGTAGAGTCCCTTACAAATGTCAGTCACAAATGGAGGAAGCTGAACCTTTTTTTGTAAAAGGAAATGTCTAGTTCTAGTTTTCTACTAGCTACGGAAGGACTATAATGAAAACAGTTTTTGATGGCAATTTTTTGTGAGCTTGTGTAAAGTACGACACTTTGATACGTCAAGACCATAACTGTATTTGTCATAAACCCATTTTTGAAATGATCACATTATATGATTACTGAATTTACATTCGCACTGAGTATCACCAACGAACAGGTTCTCACAAATCACGGTGTCGATGTCTACAGCATGCAACAAAAAACGTTCTTCGGTTTGAGCTATTTAATGAGAGAGATCGCTGATGTCTCGCTCGCTAAACGTCACGGACACACAGAATTCATTTGCTGTTTTCAGTTGGTAGCTCTATCTCAATGCTGTCGCACTTCCAGCTCATTCCAAGCTCTTTTATTTTTCTAATACCTCCTCTACTAGATACTAAATATGATGACGATTCACGCTCTTCACAAAACCCTCATCTGTCACTATGTGTTAACAACAGCGTAAGACATGCGCAACATGTTACAGCCGGAAGTTAAAATAGTCGAAATAGTGTACATTCACACACCGACCTGTAGAAATCCCTATTTTTGTAGCAGCCAAGATGTTCTTCCTGTTGCTTGAACCTTTTTGATCGATCACTTTATTTTGTCTAATTGCGAGGATTATCAGCATTTGTAGAAGGTTCTGGGAGTCCGTATTCAGCGGCTCCCTTTGAAACTCTACGACTGAATGAGCAAGTCGTGGATGAGTCCACCACTCAAACAGAACCACTCACGGTGATCATCATATTGTAGATGCAGGAAATAGGATAAGGAGTGAAGATAACTCATCAGATAGAAGATAGCCTTTCGATAAGTAGGGTGACAGCTTTGAAAAACATTTACCCAAAGAATGAGCTCTCAGTGGTAGGCGTTGAGAACTCGATGACCGCTCCTTTTCTCCATGGATCTAAAAATGGTGTAGGTAGTCGTCTGAGCCGGCAAGCCTAGTTGTGAATTTATAATTGTCAAAGCAGAGCACAGTTATTGAGCCGTGGATCACTATCGAAAGATAACTTCAGAACTAGTACTTTTCGAATTACAAAAGGAAAGCGAAGAGATTTGACGTTGTGCTCTCACTATGTGGAAGGGTTTGTGATTTTGTAATAGTGTGGTGTAACTGGGAACGTTACTGTTTTTTATGAGTATCTACCGTTCCCGCATCCCTCAGGTGATATAATAACTAATTTCATTTTCATCATGGTCATACGACGACACATGAACGCACGTACATATCCCAAGGCTGATATTGTACGGTCTTACATAAGTACATGAAATAAGTTGCCAATTTTTTACTCATTATTTCTTAGAGCAGTAACTGGAACTATTCCAATTTACGAAGAAAAGTCTAGTAAAGAAACGTGAAGGTATCCCACTTCGACGGCGACTTCCCCTGTGTTATCTGGTATTGCAAACTAATCAAAGCTTACGCTCAGTTCCTGTTTTGTCATCAGTGCTATGTTCAGAATAACGAGCAAATGGTCATTATAATAAACCAAATAAACTTGCTCGGCTCTACTCCTTTCCGTGTTAAGGTTGATCCGCTACCTGCATTCATCCTGATCCTGCCGCCTGCATCCCCCCCCCTCCCCAGATTACAAATTATGTCTTGCTGTCTGGGTTGCGTAGACAGACAACCAGATTGCTTGTTCTCGCCCACATTACTTGTTCATTTATGGTAGATGGATGGTACATTTTTAAGGTTGCAAATCACAGAGCTTTGCAGCCATAGCAAGTTTTCAATGATTTGCTAGCTCGTCGCCCTTCTTGGGCAGTTCCACGTGAAGTTTTTACGGACAACGGATCAGGTCGTTCGTCTAGGATCTGTGCCGGCCAGACGGTTAGTAACCTCTTTCAGAAGTCCGAAGGCTGCCCACGCTACTTTCTGCTGTCTCACCAGTTTTTCCCTCATGTCGTTGTTCATATTCATGGAACGCCAGAGATACACGTAGGACAACGTTTCCTTGATAGGTGTACCATCTATCTTAATTTGCCCTCCGTCAGCCCAAGGATTCTTCATGAACTGCGTCCTTGTTTGATTGATCCGCAGCCCTACCTTCTTTCCTTCTTTATTGAGCTCAGCAAGCATAGTCTCAGTTTCCACGATGCTGCTTGAAAGAAGAACGATGTCGTCCGCAAAGCGGAGATTTGAGAGGAATAGCCCATCCACACGATTTCCCTCTTCCTCGCAGTCTAGCGACTTCATAACCCACTGCAGCGCGGCTGTGAACAGCTTCGGCGAAGTAGTGTCGTTCGTCTCACACCCTTTCCCTATGGGAATGGGAAGAAGTCGTTGGAACAGCTTCACTGTCGCGCTGCAGCGACTGCTGCAGTCAGCTAGGGTTCTTATGTAGGGAGAGTCTACTCCTTGATCTACCAATGCTGACACGACCGCATTCGTTTCGACGCTCTCAAAAGCTTTTTCATAGTCAACAAAGGTAAGGACAAGAGGCATTCGGAATTCTCGGCACACTTCGATGACCATTGCGACCGCTTGTATGTGGTCCAGGCAGCTGAATCCCCTTCGGAATGCGGCCTGCTCGACAGCTTGAGCTTCATCCGTCCGCGATGCGCAGGTCAGAATGATTTTCGTGAATGGCTTGTAAAGCACGCTTGACAGATTATTGAGCGATAGTTGCGAAGATCATCCCGGTGTCTCTTCTTGTGAAGATTGATCATCCGCGAATTCCTCCACTGGTTGGGGATCTTCTCTTTCTGGAGGTAGGATGTCATGTGTGTTGCTAAGCGCATGAAGTTCGTAGCCACCTGCATGGAGTAGGTCGGCAGAGGTCTTGTCGGGGCTTGGAATAGCGCCTCTTTTCAATCACAGCTCTCACCTCCGAATGGAGGATCCGAGGTGCTGTTCCATCAATGGGGATTTTTGGTTTTTGCACGTGTTTCGTGGATCGGTACAAGTTGGTATAAAACTCTACTTTTAAAACCGTAACTTCCTCCGTCACAAATCTCGATTTTGTAATTGTTACGCGTAATTATGCCCCTCCTTATTAGAACGCGAAAGTGGAATACTATGGTTCAAAAGATCCTGATGGCATTTTCTCAGACTAGTTCTGTTCAAGACTGCCTCCAGCAGTCTCCTCTCCGTGTATAGCTGAAGGTCTCGCCGCACTGCCTTTCTGCAACTGATATTCGCTTGCAGCGTGCGGCGTTCTGGTCAAGCCTCAAGTTTCCTCTTGTCCTGAGAAGATCCTCCGTCGCATCTGAAATGCGAGCGGAGTTATCCAGTCGAGGGAGCTTGTCCTATTCACCACAAGGGAGGAGACCCTGAATCATTGCGTCGTAGTTCTTCGATCTCTAAGAGCAAGACCTGCCAGTCATATCAGGACAAGACGTCATTCAGAACATCTCCGTCGTATACAACATGCCTCGAGCCCTTTCTGCGTTGTTGTGAGATCTTTTATAGCTTGTGACTGAATCTGATCTTGGCGCGAAGGAGTCGATGATCAGAACCACTGCAGAAAGATGGTATCACACCAACATCGAGTAAGCACCACCTTTTCTGTTAAAATGTGGTCCAGTTCAGCATGAGTTGTAGACTCCCATGTCCAGCGGCGTTGCTCCCTCTTCTGGAAGGAAGAATTTCCATGGAAGAGTCGGCCGCGGACAGGAGCCCAGCCAGACGGTTTCCGTTCTCGTTCCTGTCCCCATTCCGGAGTTCCCAATCCAGAACTCCTCCTCTTGTGCTTCGCATAGCCTAGCGTTGAAATCTCCAACAATGAGTTTGTAGAAGGACTTTCCGTTGTGGATATTCTCGCATTAGCTCAGTAAGGTTAGCCATCGAACAAAAGTTGATCGGTCGAGTGAACTCCCCTCGCACACCAAAGGGTCTTGATACTGCCGCTAAGGAGAGAGCAGCTGTGTGACTAACTCCCAATGCAAGTCCAAGCTACGACTGGAGGGAAATAGTTTGTAGGTCGCGAAAACCTTTGTACGCAGTGAGGGGATCTTCCAATCTGGCGATGCAAATAAGCTTTTTTGTGGCGTAATGGGTATGCAGAAGTTCGACATTATCTTTAATACTCTCGAAAATTGCCCTCGTTTTCAATTGAACAGACGAGCTTCCTCTAAAATGATGGATCTTCTTTTTCAGATATGCATTCAACTGTTGTTCTGCTTCTCCTTCTTGTCCAGCTTATAGCTCTATCTACAGCACAATGGGGCTTTGGCTATCCTGGTATGGGTTATGGTATGGGTATGGGTGGACCTCTAGGAGGCCTAGAAGGTAACGTTTTCTTTTTGAACGAAAAGATTAATTGACTTTTTTCTGCTCTCTGTTCTTAGTTATGTATTTCAATACCAGTATGGGTAGGAAGTTGATAGGGTCCAGATGCAACCTCGTGCATTCCTCCACTTCAATTCTCGTGTGTTTGGAATGCATTCGTATTTGAAGGATGCTTCGGTACTGTGCTGCATCACCTTCTCTTCTTGGAGGTGTTGAAATAAGACAAATTGAGTTTATGACAGCCACCTCAATCGTTTTTCTCATGAAAAAAAGGTTCAGGTGTGATTGATACATTTGAGAAAAAAAAGAGCCTTCAGAATTGCACCTTGATCATGTGTCCTTAGTGTACTCCTACTACTTTGGCGAACTCTACAATTGTCTGGTGAGGTGAAAGGTCGAATGTGACTTTGGAGCAATTCCGGGAAACATCGAGTAGCTATAAACATATAGCTACGATTCTTCGGTCTACACAAGTATAGAGGTAGGTGGTAGTCGAAAGATGTACACCCCGATACAGGCAACATTAACCGCTGTCCTTCACAGCTTANATACACAGTTTTAGTTACACTCACTGTCAGCAGTGATATCAAGAAACAGTACCCGCTTCAATCTCCAGTCTCGGAGAGGAAGTGAGCGAACTTGAAATACGAGTGTGCAGTCATCACGCATGAATCCCACCTCTCCGGAGACTCTCATAAGGGTTGATTGAAGTGAGCTTGTGATAAATCTAAATCTCAAATAGAAAGTGAGTGTTATGTCACTGTCTTCCCAACAAGCGCTCGTATCATCACTCTGAAGCTTGAATTCTCGAACTAGATCAAAATCCTGAACCCAGAGCGGTGTCTTTGTTTTTCTCACAAGTACATCGCTCAACCTGAGGTGCACTACGGATTCGATGAAACAAAGTTTGCTGTGACTGAGGAAAGGATAATGCTCCGAATTCTCCGAACACTTCAGTGCAAGAGGGGAATCTAGATTTTCTAACCGGTCGACGAATGAGAATCAGGGATGAGGTTTTTAACGTCAAAGTATCGGAAATCGTGTGGATCGGACACGTGATGCGAAATGGTGATGATCGTACCCCTGGGCTGTTACCAACTGGATCCCTCTAAACGTAAAGGGAACATTAGGACGGCAGCCAGTTGGATGTTCAGACTTCTTCTCGAATCATAGAGACTCAGATTTGTTGTGAGCGAATCTCAATGACACAATACAAGGGCATTTTGCTCGTTTAGATTATCGAAACAAGGTTAACGAGAGATTCTCGATTCATTCTTTCAGGTGCGGTCATTGGAGGACTTGATGGAGCTCTGATGGGCGCTGTTGATGGTGCCATGTTTGGATGATTCTTTGAAATTGTGAAAATGTAATCGAGTACTTGTTCGAAGATAAAGTAGAATCTTTGAAAGAAGTGGTGCTCATATCAAGATAAATACCTTTTAATCTAAGCCTGTTAATCTTACCTTATTCTTTCTATCTGAGTATGTGTTCCTCATTAGGATAGCTGTGAATCGACAAGAATGGCAGACAGAAGACAAGAGTTGATCTCGGCTTATCAAAATTTTTTCGCCTTGCATGTAAGTAGGAAGGTTGAGATTTAGGTATATAGACACCAGAGAAAGTAGGACTTTCGAAGCTAGCTATTCACTAATTCCAGCAGAGTCCCCATGATATATGGCAAATATCTTCGTAATGATAGCACGCTTGATTACTATGCTCTGCTGCATTGCTGCATGATTGCTGACTAGCAGTCCGTTTCGACGAGCTGTAACAGCAACGCGGTGTACCCACAATCGTTGGATGTTTTCCCCACGTGCACCATGTTATATTTATGGGTAGCGATCCCATACATGAAACCGTCTGATACCGCGGCTGAATGCTACCGAAAATAATCAAGATTTTTGAAAAGCTTCATTCCGGAGTATGGTTTGCGTGAAACGAAGCGTTTTTGGAAGACTAGATGTGTATGCAAGGCATAAACGTTTTTTCCTGTACGATTTATAAAAATTGTTCTTTGCCCAATCCTCACCATAAAATTGGCCATGTATGCTGATTTCTTGATGGTCTAATTGAACGTAGCTGTTCTTTTCCGTTTTTCAAGAGCCATAGCTTGTTATCTGAATAACTGTGGCAATATCAATGAGATCGCTTCATCAACGAAACGTATTATAATTATGAATCACTCGCAGCGGTGACTGTCAAGGTAACTGTATTGACTGATGGAAGAATTTTTTTATGATTTGACCGTGGACGTCAGTTTACTTCGTGTTCTGGTCGCTTGAGTGATGTGAATAATCTAATCACGACAGTAGTCCACAAAAAAAGAAGCAGTTCCGCAAACGTGACACGTAAAGAACTTGCCCTTGGACGAATGATTTATGACTGAAAACGACGAGAGAGTATACATATTGATCCTTGTTTTGGATCACTGGAAAGAAGGACCTCGAGGAGGATTGCACCTTATCGGCTACAAATCGTAACCTCAATCGGAATGATGGGGAAAAAATCATGCTTACAATGTACAAAATACCGTATAATTAAGATCCACGTCACGGACGGAACGCCTCCCTTCACAAGGTAGGTAATCAAAAATAGCTCCTCAATAGGTTCGCAGAATAGCTACAAAGTGGTTTCGCACTGCTACGCGTCGCTCAAGGTCATTATTTCAGCTCATTGTCTTTTCTCATAAGAGAACATGAGCTCAACCACTAGAGACATCACGAATTCAAGATGTGTTAGCCTATTTGAAGCGAAGTTAAGGAGAATGGCAAGTAGCGAAGTTAAGGGGAAGTTAAGGTGAACATCAAAAAACTTCAGTGCATCCTCATGATTGATCAGACTCAGCAGAACTATGGGGTATACCTAAAAGGATTTCGATGGAGATTCCGTAACTACATATTATTGAACATACACATGACTCAGTTTAATTTCTCAAGCACCTTCAATCACTCGGGTAAAGTCAATACAAATGAACTACTGACCGAAGGATAAAGTTCCGAACGATTCAGAAACGTTTACGAAGGCAGTACTTCAGTTAAAGGGATTTACTACATGGAACTCGATAAACTCACTGTGACGTTTCATGTATCTCCTCAGAAAATGCAAACCTCAATCCACTAGTCCCAAAGATCTGAATGAAGGCTGAACTATGTATGTCCTTTCCTCGTTTTACCTTAACACAACAACTAAGGCAGGTTTCATAATAAATCCTCTCGAGAGTCTGATAGTTTTGCAATGAAAAGCAAAAAGTTGTTATGTCATCGCCGAAATTGGAAGATATCGGAAGTGATGGATATGAAAAGAAACCTTTTACACTGGTGTGCAAAACTTAGGGACGTGATGGATAATGTAACATAAAACATTGAGGACTGGGTGGAAATAAATGAAAGTGTGGGATTATACTGCCAGACCTATGACCGTTATGCCCAGGGAGTTGGACATCCCTTGGAGGAATAGTTCAAATAAAGCGAGAAATACCGCTGACCGCACAAATCGAGGGAGCTCTTAAGTACGAAAAGTTTTTTTTTGTAAATCAGCTAGTTGCTACCAAGTACTGTGGTGTTATCCTTCTATACGTCATATCCCGCTGACATCGTCTGGATAACCTGGCACGAGGAAGGAACATCGGGAAACTCGAAAAAGGTCGAAAAAAGACGAACGCAGCTCAGGAACCTGATATCGCTCACAGCGTTGTTTCACGTGCACGGGGAGCATTTCGAACCTCTTATACTGCTGCACGAAGGAGGGGAGGTGGTCGACCAAGGACAACTACTCTAACGTAAGACCGCTACATTGTGCAGTAGGCATGAAGAGATCCACGTCAGTCAGCCTCTTTGATTGTAATGTCATTTAACAGGATTTCAAAGCAAGCCATCCCACGCACTACAGTGGCACTACGACTGCACGGTGGTGGTCTCTCCATCCGACGACTACTACGTAGGTTTCCTTTGACCCTCGCGAATCGACGAGACGGTTTAGGGTGGTGCCAGGAGCATAGCGAACGGGCAGATGAGAAATGAGGCCGCTTGCTTTTTTTGGCTGAGGCAGATTCAGTCTGAGCAGTGATTCTGGACGCACCCTCATGGCCAGAGCTGGGGACACGCAATTCTCTCGGAAACGTTGTGGAACTTGATCGTTCTGTTGGTCGAGGTGTTATGGTATGTGGAGGCATTATGCTTCGTACTGACCGTACCGCACTGACCTCCAGATTTTCGAGCATGGCACCCTTAACAGTCGGGGTCACTGTGAAAAGGAACCCCTCCCTAATGTCTATACTTTCAGGGCTGCAGTGA